TTTTAACATTTCTATCTTTATCCCATCAATCCCGGCTGCCTTACCCCTTTCATTTTACCTACTGCCTCACGAACTTCCCCCACACTCACAACTGCTCTTCCTCACTCCTACAAGATGTTATTCCTCCTTGCCCTATACACAAAATCACAGCTTCCCTATCTTCATCAACATTTAACCAATTCCTCAAAATATTCCCTCCATTTTCCCCAATACCTCTAACTCTCCATTTAATAACTCTCCTCTCCTATTTTTTTAAACTGACAAATCCATTTGTTCTCTAGGCTTTCTTAACTTGTTAATCTCACTCCAAAACTTTTTTTTTAATTTCAACAAAATTTGTTGAATAACATCTCACCCAGTCTCTCTTTTGCTCTCTTTTTACATTGCTTCACCACTCTCTTAACCTCTCTCTTTTCTCCATATTACTCTTCCCTCCTTGCATCACTTCTATTTTGTTAAAAACTTCTCATATGCTAATTTTTTTCTCCCTTACTACTCTCTTTATCATCATTTCACCAATCGCTCCTCTTCCCTCCTGCACCCACTTTCCTGTAACCACAAACTTCTGCTGAACACTAACACACATTTTTAAACCTACCCCATACCTCTTCGACCCCATTCCCTATGCTCTCATGCCCATCTACCCTCCAATAGCTGTTTATATTTTTACCCTAACTGCCTCCTCTTTTAGTTTATAAACCTTCACCTTCTCTTCCCTGATGCTTCTATTCTCCTTGTACCCCATCTACCTTTTACTATCAGTGTAGCTACAACTAGAAAGTGATCTGATATATCTGTGGCCCCTCTATAAACATGTACATCCTGAAGTCTACTCAACAGTCTTTTATCTACCAATACATAATCCAACAAACAAACTGTCATTTCGCCCTACATCATATCTTGTATACTTTTTATCCTCTTTTTTCTTAAAATATGTATTACCTATAACTAAACCCCTTTCTATACAAAGATCAATCAAAGGTCTCCCCTTATCATTTCACCTGGCACCCCCAAAATTATATATGTATATATATGTATACATATATATGTATATTAATATATATAATATTTATATATAAATATATATATATATATGTATACATATATATGTATACATATATATATAAAACAGTTACAATAATAAATTATAATTTCATTCATGACCCAACCATAAACAGGGTACATTCCTGACACCACTGTGTCACAGTACGTGATAAAATAATAAATTATAAGTAACATCTCCATACATATACATCATACACTGGATCACACGACAGTTCGTCCTACCACACAGGGTACAGTCCTTCCTCAGTATCACCCCTGCGTTTCTCCTCAGAGACCAACAAGTCACTGACACCCAGTGTCACTGCTATCTTACCTTTCTTCAGTGTCACACGACACTACAGTCTCTCAGTGTTACACTACGCCCTTTTCTTACATCAGTGCCACACTCTGTTTCTTCCTCCAGTGTCACACTACGATCTACATTAAGATCTACATTATTTAGTTTCTTCAGTGTCACACTACGGTCCAATCCTTTCTTCAGTGTACACTCCGCCTGCTTCTTTTAGTGTCACATGCTCCGCCGACTTGCTAAGGTGGTCGAATACTGCTTCTAAGGCCACATATGGTGGTAGGTGAATACTGTCTCTTGCCAGTATACCGTAAAATGGTCAAATATGGTCAAATAAGTACCATCCACTGCCAGTAGATATATACCATAAGGTGGTCAGGTAAGTACTAAGACCAGTAGGTATACACCGTAAGATGGTCAGCGAATATGTCTAAAGCCGGCTCAGCCCTCCCCACATTGGGTTTTGACTACCCCTGGAAAGAGGCCGGCAGGTTAACAATTTAACCCTAGTTTGGCAGGAGCCACCACGTGCCGTGGCTGTGGCAAAGCTCTCGCTTTACCCGGCGAGGGTCCAGGTTTGATTTCCCGGCGTAGGGTAGAAACATCGACATGTACCTTACATCGGTTGTCTATGTTCCCCCCACAGTAAATGGGTACCCTGGGTGTTTGGACTGGGTTTTGGTCGCATCCTGGGACAAAACTGACCTAATTTTTGCACCCAAATGCTCTGCATAACAAAGGCTTTCTATATAGTAGTATGTCATTGGTGTCAGCTATGGTCGGTACACCTTGTACATGTGCTTGTAGTAAATAAAGATATATTATTATTATTATTATTATTATTATTATTATTATTATTATTATTATTATGATACTTTACACTATACACTATAATTATGCCGTGGGCTTTTTTTTTTTTTTTTTTTTTTTTTTGCTGCGAAAGATTGATAACTCTCATTATGCGTTGCTATCCCGCCATACCATGAAAGGTGTATATTGGATTACGTATTTTAAGTCATTTTTATTATTGGTGTTTCAATAAATCACAGCATTAACAACCGACGTGTGTCAATATCATTATAGCATCAGTAGATGGTAGCTTGTAAGAGACCTGGTCGTTCATCAATGATATATATATATTTTCAGTAATTCCAAGTTGCCAACTTACCAGCGAATGTTTAGCTTCATGGAATCTCAAAATCCTTCCGTTTACACCAAGTCAAATGAGGAAGGAGTTAAGAGAGTTCAAAAAGGCGATGGGCAGTACGCATTCATGATGGAATCCTCCAGTATTGAGTACATCACTGAGAGGTACTGTGACCTCACTCAGGTTGGGGGACCTCTCGACTCCAAGAGCTACGGTATAGCTCTTCCTCCAGGTAAGATCTACTACGCTATTACCACACCCCAAAACCCCCTTATATTACATTTATTTTATTTATTTAGAGGTTTTAAATTTCCGATACTGTACATAGATTTTTTTTTGGCTGGAAGATCATGAGGTAAAGTGAACGAATGAGAGAGTGAGTGTTGAGCTGTTATCAAATTTAGTTGACAATAAAAATTTAGAGTGAGATCAATAAGTTTAGAAAGCCTAGAGAACGAATGGATTCGAGAGTTAAAAATTGAAGAGTGATTTTGTGATATTTTAAGATGAGTTGGAGGTATTAGGAAGATTGAGGAAATATTTTGAGGAATTGTTAAATATTGATGAGGAGATGGAAGCTGTGATTTCAAGCATTGATCAGGGAGGTATAAAATCTTTTAGGAGTGAGGAAAAGTCAGATGTGAGTGTGAGAGAGGTGCATGAGGCTGTGGGTAAAATAAAAGGGGGGTTTAGACAGCTGCGATTGATGGGATCAATACAGAAATTTTTAAAAGTAGATGAGGATGTGTTCCTGGTGTGGTTCCTGCTTTTACTTAATAAATGTAGGGAAGAGGGAAGGTACCTGGGGATTGACAGAGAACATGCATAGTTCCTTTTACGAAGGCAAACAAAAGAGAATGTGATAAATAGTTTAGGAAACTGCCCACGTTGAAGAATAAGACATTTTTGCAACATTAAGGAATCTTTATTGAGGAAACGTTTCGCCACACAGAGGCTTCATCAGTCCAACACAAGAAGAACGGTGTAAAGGGAGGAGGAGTTTGAGGTAATTAGCCCCTTTACCCAGGGCTAAGGGACTGATGAACCCACTGTGTGGCGAAACGATTCCTCAGAAAAGGGACTCCTATATGCTTCCCTACCTTATTGGGAAACGGCCGATTGTTTTATATATATTATATAATATATATATAATATAATATTTATAAAATATATTATAATATATATATAATAATATAAATATATATATATATACATATATATATATTATATTATAATAACACAATGGCCGATTCCCACCAAGGCAGGGTGGCCCGAAAAAGAAAAACTTTCACCATCATTCACTCCATCACTGTCTTGCCAGAAGGGTGCTTTACACTACAGTTTTTAAACTGCAACATTAAGACCCCTCCTTCAGAGTGCAGGAACTGTACTTCCCATCTCCAGGACTCAAGTCCGGCATGCCGGTTTCCCTGAACCCCTTCATAAATGTTACTTTGCTCACACTCCAGACTGATACACTCTTGAAGTCATTTTGTTTCGCTCCATTCTCTCTACATGTTCGAACCACCTCAACAACCCTTCCTCAGCCCTCTGGACAGCAGTTTTTCTAATCCGCCACCTCCTCCTAACTTCCAAACTGCGAATTCTCTGCATTATATTCACACCACACATTGCCCTCAGACATGATATCTCCACTACCTCCAGCCTTCTCCTCCCTGCAACATTCATCACCCATGCTTCACACCCATATAAGAGTGTTGGCAAAACTATACTCTCATACATTCCCCTCTTTGCCTCCAAGGACAATGTTCTTTGTCTCCACAGACTCCTAAGTGCACCGCTCACCCTTTTCCCCTCATCAATTCTATGATTCACCTCATCTTTCATAGACCCATCCGCTGACACGTCCACTTCCAAATATCTGAATACATTCACCTCCTCCATACTCTCTCCCTCCAATCTGATATCCAATCTTTCGTCACATAATCTTTTAGTTATCCTCATAATCTTACTCTTTCCTGTATTCACTTTTAATTTTCTTCTTTTACATACCCTACCAAATTCATCCACCAACCTCTGCAACTTCTCTTCAGAATTTTCCCAAGAGCACAGTGTCAAACAGCAAAGAGCAACTGTGACAACTCCCACTTTATGTGTGATTCTTTATCTTTTAACTCCACGCCTCTTGCCAAGACCCTCGCATTTACTCTTACAACCCCATCTATAAATATATTGAACAACCACCGTGACATCACACATCCTTGTCTAAGGCCTACTTTACCCGGGGAAAAAATCTCCCTCTTTCCTACATTTTCTAACTTGAGCCTCACTATCCTCGTAAAAACTCTTCACTGCTTTCAGTAACCTACCTCCTACACCATACACCTGCAAAAACCCGCCACATTGCCCCTCATCCACCCTGTCATACGCCTTTTCCAAATCCATAAATGCCACAAAAAACCTTTTTTAGCCTTATCTAAATACTGTTCACTTATATGTTTCACTGTAAACACATGGTCCACACACCCCCTACCTTTCCTAAAGCCTCCTTGTTCATCTGCTATCCTATTCTCCGAATTACTCTTAATTCTTTCAATAATAACTCTACCATACACTTTACCAGATATACTCAACAGACTTATCCCCCTATACACAAATAACCCGCACATAAAAGAGAGAAGTTTACGACGACGTTTCGGTCCGACTTGGACCATTGACAAAGTCACACTAACAGAGGTGCAGCAGGACGGCTATATATAGGCAGGAAGAGGTGGAGGTAGTAGTAGTAGTAGTACAAGAATTGTATATAATACCGACAAGATGAAATTAAGACACATGCACAACACCCGGGCATCCCCATCGTAGACGTTTCGCCATCCAGCCAGCCACTGGATGGCGAAACGTCCACAACAAAGACAACCAGACGCCGCACATGTGTCTTAATTTCATCAGTAGTTGTAGTAGTAGTAGAAGAAGAAGAGGTAGTAGTAGTGGTAGTGGCAGAAGTGGGAAATAAGGATGACGAGCTAGTCAAAAACAAAAACAAAGGAAGGGGAGCACTGCAAGAGAGCTAGATGCCCACAGAGGGAGAGCAAGCGCACAGAGGTGCGTGAAAGGGGAAGTTATTAATGTATCGTTCCAATCACGGTATTGTGCCTTTTTGTTATTTATCCCCCTATAATTTTTGCACTCTCTTTTGTCCCCTTTGCCTTTATACAAAGGAACTATGCATGCTCTCTGCCAATCTCTAGGCACCTTACCTTATATATACATATATATATGTATATATATATATATATATATATATAATATATATATATATATATATATATAAATATATATAATATATATATATATATATGTATATATATATATATATATATATATATATATATATATATATAATATATATATATATATATATATATATATATATATATATATATATACACATATGTATGTATATATATATATATATATATATATATATATATATAATATATATATATATATATATATATATATATATATATATATATATATATGTATGTATGTATGTATTTCTTGTTTGTGTTATCTATAAAGGTTAACATATGAATTATTTAAAAAGTTTGATAATAACACAGCTGAGTATATTACATAATTGTACACATGCTACATAAAACACATTACAAGATAAATTACTTTTAATTGCAAAGTCTGTTCAAGACGGAAGAAAACCTTTAGTCTATATTATGTGCTGCTTCTGTGAACATAATTGTATCTCTTTTAACCTATGTTTTATATTATTGGGAAACACGTGAATGTTGTGGGTTCCCACACTTGAACAACAGGATCACCGTACCGGACGTTGCTCAACTCTGCGGTGCTCAAGTTGCAGGAGGTTGGCAGACTACACACTCTCAAGCGCAAGTGGTGGAAGGAGAAACGAGGTGGAGGTACCTGCCAGGTAACGGGACTTCACGTCCACAGGTTCCCTGGCTCCCCTTACTGGTATCTCTCGTTTATTTCCTCATTTTCATCAAGTCTATCATGATTTCCAGAACGCAAGTCATACATCATAACTTTCAAATATCATGTAACTCATTTCCTCCTAGTGTTTATTGTAACATTTTTTTTCGACACACAGAAAATTCCCATTTCACTTGCCTAAATGAGAACCTACAATGATGTTTCTTAATTGTTATGTGAATACGTTGTTGTCTTCACTTTCCGCATCGCTGTGACATTTCCTGTAATATGCTAATGTTGCTTCCACTTTACGGATATACAGCAACACAAAGCTTACACTATATTACCGCGTTTCAATCTACAGGGAATTACCATAAGAAACCAAACCATACCCCGGCTGGGATTGAACCCGCGATCAAAGAGTCTCAAAACTCCAGCCCGTCGCTGACCGCGGGTTCAATCCCAGCCGGGGTATGGTTTGTTTGCAATCGTGTCATTACGATTTCGTGAGTCATACCATAGAAAATTCGTAACATTCCAGTTATTGTTACGCAGGTACAGATCTCACAGTGTAACACAGGTCGGTGGCTCCTTAAGAAATGTATTGGTCATTTTTTAGCGTTTAAATAAAGACAAAATTTGCATGCTGTGCGACACTGATATTTCGAAACTAACATTTCGTTATAATTAAACGATTTCAGAATTAGTCAGAATCAAGGTCAGAAATGAGTTCCGCTGGAAGGTCTGTGTATATTGTTATAAGTGTAAGCAAAACAACTCGTGGCTAGAAATATTTCATTGTGTTTATTATTAAAATATTGTAAACGTATCTAAAATATATTTCGCTGGATTAGGCTAAATTAAAATGCGCTTGTTATAACAAGGTTAGGTAAGTTTTCTAAGTTTTCATCAGAAGGGAGCCAGTTTGTGGTGCTCCAAACATTTTGTGTGTAAACCAAGAACCAACATGGCTGGCAAGTGCCAGTTTCGGCAGACATCATCGTGAGTATCCACCGGAGATTACAGAGTCGTGACAATCCTCTGCATAAGGCCTTTGCTTCTGTATCAGTGAAAGTACAGTGTGCATGTAGGAAGCATGTAGGAAGCATGTAGGAAGCATGTAGGAAGCATGTAGGAAGCATGTAGGAAGCATGTAGGAAGCAAAATACTCGGCAGACGATGCAACATTTCCCCAATGAAAAGCAGGGGTGTCACTAGCACGTTAAGAGACAACACAATAAGTGTCAGGGGCCCAAGACTGTTCGGCTGTCTCCCAGCATATATAAGGGGGATTACCAATAGACCCCTGGCTGTCTTCAAGCAGGCACTGGACAAACACCTAAAGTCGGTACCTGACCAGCCGGGCTGTGGCTCGTACGTTGGATTGAGGCCTGGTCACACACCGGGCCACGGGGGCGTTGACCCCCGGAACTCTCTCCAGGTAAACTCCAGGTAAACTCCAGGTAAACTCCAGGTAAACTCCAGGAAGTGGTGGTCTTGAGGGAAACCTGCTAGCGGAGGTGTAGAGAATTGTTTACCCTCTGCGTTCGGCCAGGGTTGCAAAGTTGGGGGTGGGGTTGTCGCTCAGGATTCCCTATCACTGGATATTCAACAGAACACCTCGGTTAATAGTGAGAGCATGGTGATTAGTGTGGCATATGGCGAGGGTTTTTCTAAATGGAATAATACGTGTATAACAATTACCTAAATTTAGTCAGTGATGTGCATCATTAGTGAACAGATAGGGCCACTTCCCTCGCCACCCATCCCTGGTCCCCTCCCAACATCCCGGTCTAAACCTCCTGCCATCCTGACCAAGGGTGTTGCCTTTTAGTCCCCCACCAATTACTCTCATTACAGCTCCCTACTCCCTCTTTCACATCCCTCAAACATCCATGCTGTCCTTCACCCGTCATTCCACAGCTGGCGCCCTCCCACGCCCACGATGTTAGCAATGTCACAACATGTGCCGGGTTCCCAGAAATCTTCACGACAGAGCGAACACCGTGGCACCCGCTCACGAGGCCTATGCCAGGTGTGCCACGGGGAGTGTGCACTCAGTCCCTCAAATGGCAACATTCATGCATACAATGGATGTCTAGACTCCCGGAGGGCTTTAAATGGGAATAACCAACAGCTCCTTCCAGCAGACAGCGATGACAGCTACCGTGACTTCACCTCTACAGAGGACCTCAAATCTGCAATCAAATTAACATCCAACAGGGCGCCGACACACATGCACAAAACAGCTCACCCACAGGCTGCTAGCAAATTCGCTGACCTCTTGAAGAAAGTCAACGATTTCCATGCAAATAACGAATCCTGGCACAACCTACTGCTATTTGGCAATACCTGTCTGCCTGTCCCACCAAGGAGAAACAAGTTTCTAGCAACATCTGTTATTAGGGCAATAGATGTATTCCCTGGAGATGTCAACTTATCCGTCTCCCCTCCAGGGTGACAAACACCCGCTGGGCGAATGCCAACAATAGAACACTTGATGCTTCAAATTAGCAAAAAATAAAAGAGGGTAATACTACTGGAGCACTGAGGCATGTAACCAGTGAAGACACCATGGCCCAGAAAGGCATCGTTACTGTAACTGTTCCTATGTCCACTATTATTCCTCGCATCAAGATAGAGTCAAACTGTCTGTTTTCTCATCAATGTTTTTGAGAGCTTTACGAATTTGTAGTCCTGAGTTCATAGATGAGGAAATATCCAAAATTTATGAAATAGGTAATGATTTAAAATATCCAAGAAATGTAATTGATAAATCTTTTAAAGTTGCTAGGAACACTTTTTATAATCCAAAAAAAGGGCAACCAGCCTTATTCAACTAAAAATATGTTGGTTCTCCCTTACCATGAAAACTTGGTTGATATGCCTTCTCTTCTTAAGACTTTTAATATTAAAGTTGTATTCAAAAATCTTGATACAGTAAAAAAACTTTTGATTAAGAATTCCCCCCAAAATGCTGATGGATGTGTCTATAAGATTCCTTGTAAAATTTGCGATAAAGTTTATTACGGTCAAACTGGTAAAAATCTCGAACTAAGATTAAAACAACATAAATATAGCATTAGAACTGGACAAGATTCCAATGCTCTATTTATTCATGTAAGAGATTTTAACCATCCAATTGATTTTCAAAAAGTTGAGAAAGTAGTATCAAACAAGTCCATGGTCGACAGGAATATAATTGAATCTTGTTTCATAAAAAGCAGTTTTGACAATAATATGAATATTTCCTTTGGTTTATATGAATTAGATCCATTTATAATTAATAGAATTTGGGAAGAATTTAATAATACACTGGACAAATAAATAGCTTGGGGGTGAGTTTTGCAAAGGACCTATCCAAGTTGGCTCGCCGCGCGTCACGTGTTTAACCGTTGTGGGATCTGATAGTGAGGTGCTGGCCGACCCCTTATATAGCTTCCTTGGATGCTTCACTTTCATAGTTCCTTGATAATGTGAGTAGTCACGAAAGCGCTTGGAATTTCTCTATTCTTTCAGAGTGGTTGTTTTGCATATTTTGAAATCACCTGTTTACTGTGATCTTATTGCATATATATATATATATATATATATATATATATATATATATATATATATATATATATATATATATATATATATATATATATATATATATATATATATATATATATATATATATATATATATAATATATATATATATATATATATTCAGTGCAAAAGTGACCGTAGTTGGAAATTATCTCAAGCTTTTTTTTTTATCAGAACAATGTCGTATTAAAGAAGTCTGCCAGACCATATATTTATATTTTCATTTTAGTGAGACTGCGAGAATTTTATGTAAATTCGTGATAAACATTAAAATAAACCTTCCATAAACCACAAAAGTCTAAAAGCAAGAGAAAAAATAATTTAAAGTAAAAGACAAACCTGTTTACAGAACATCAAGGCTGGGACTGGACATTGTTTACAGAACATCAAGGCTGAGACTGGACATTGTTTATACAACATCAAGGCTGAGACTGGACATTGTTTATACAACATCAAGGCTGAGACTGGACATTGTTTATACAACATCAAGGCTGAGACTGGACATTGTTTATAGAACATCAAGGCTGAGACTGGACATTGTTTATACAACATCAAGGCTGAGACTGGACATTGTTTATACAACATCAAGGCTGGGACTGGACATTGTTTACGGAACATCAAGGCTGGGACTGGACATTGTTTACGGAACATCAAGGCTGAGACTGGACATTGTTTATACAACATCAAGGCTGAGACTGGACATTGTTTATACAACATCAAGGCTGGGACTGGACATTGTTTATAGAACATCAAGGCTGAGACTGGACATTGTTTATAGAACATCAAGGCTGGGACTGGACATTGTTTATAGAACATCAAGGCTGGGACTGGACATTGTTTATAGAACATCAAGGCTGAGACTGGACATTGTTTATACAACATCAAGGCTGAGACTGGACATTGTTTATACAACATCAAGGCTGGGACTGGACATTGTTTACGGAACATCAAGGCTGGGACTGGACATTGTTTACGGAACATCAAGGCTGAGATTGGACATTGTTTATACAACATCAAGGCTGAGACTGGACATTGTTTATAGAACATCAAGGCTGGGGCTGGACATTGTTTATAGAACATCAAGGCTGAGACTGGACATTGTTTATAGAACATCAAGGCTGGGACTGGACATTGTTTATAGAACATCAAGGCTGGGACTGGACATTGTTTATAGAACATCAAGGCTGGGACTGGAAATTGTTCACAATTCAAACGCTCCGTGGTGATATTAAGCGCTTGTTTTTCGAAGCAAATAAAATATTGATGCCAGGATTTGAGTTTGGACAATGGTCCAACACTAGCCCTTGTGTAATGTTACACGAAATACATGCATAGAAGCGGAGAGTCAAACTTTTATTGCGGGTTATACTGACATCGTCGGAACATCATTTCGTAGTAGTTAGAG